AAACAGACGAATGTATAAACAAATGAAGAGAGAGACCTAAACTGAAACAGATAAAAACAATAGACCACAGCTACAGACTAACTGGCTCCCATACAAAAAAAATTAAAACATACAATGATGCTAACATACAAGCTAACCAACCACCTTATTGGTGTGCTGTTCCTCTATACAAAGATATGGTTTACAGAGAGGAGAAAAGAAAAGAAAAGGAAGAGAAAAAAACAGGAACAAAACAATAGGAATAGAATCAATTCATTAAACTAACAGAACCAATCAAGCATACTCTGAGGCTTTTTGTTTAAGTCCACTGTCCTTTCAGCTCTGATTTCTAGCTGTCATCTCAAGCTGGTAAATTAGTTCACAGTTAGGGTCAGGTGCCTCTGGCCTACTGTGAAGGACAGTTAATATCACCCTCAGTTCACCACTCAAATCTGGCCTGTGTCTGTTTTTCAAGCTTGTTTGTCCCGTTTCGGTGTTGTTACCTTGAATCGCCAGCAGGTGGTGATATCTCAGCTGCTTCCCACAGAGGGGGTGGAGCTGGACAGGAGCTGGGCAGAGGCTGGAGATGGAAGCCTGCCTCGGGGCACACGGGAGGAGACCCATGGCCGGCAGGATGTCAAGGTGGCAGATGTGGCAGTGATCCCAACAGATCTTGCCTACAGAGACTTCAAGGACTGAAGTTGTGGATCGCCTCAGGCATAGGTGGCGCGACGCGCTATGGCTGCCATGGAGGGCACAGCAGTGCCGGCGGCTGCTGTGTCTGCAGCTGCAGTGGCTGTCCAGACCTCTGCAATGCCCCAGCAGTGGCGATGGCCAAGCTCCGTGTGAAGAGCAGGTTGCCAACATTGGGATCCGCAGCTCCCACGAAGAGAGCCAGAGACCCTCTGCATTCTCCTTTGCAGAGGGTCTCATAGACCAGGCTGCCCCATTGCCATCTTGCCGAAGTCTTGGAAGGCATATCTTAAGTCCATCCACACTTGGAAAGGACAGCTGATGTTCTGGTAAGGCCTACAAACCTGAACTGCGCTTAGAAATTTGGGGTATGGGCATTCAAAAGCCCTCAGAGGTTAGCATCTATCACCAGCAATAAATCTAAGGGCAAATAACTCCTCTTAGGACAGGAAAAAAATTTCACAGGGTGTTGATGAAAAAAAAAGCCAAATTCTGTAAAATATTTTAATCTGGTTTATTCTTGAGTCAAACTTGAGGACTTAAGCCCAGATGCACCCACCGTCAGGAGGTCCTGAGAACGTGTGCCCACTGTGGCCAAATAGTGGCTTGGTTATATACATTTTAGGAGGGCAGAAGTTTTAGAAACCATAAGTGAATACAGGTGAGATTTTCATTGGTTTGACTCCAGGAGGGAGGGACATTTTCAAACGGAGGCTTGCAGGTCATGAGTGATTCAAAAATTTCTTGACTGGCAATTTGCAATTCCTCTCTAAGGATTTAGGGAATCAGAGGAGAAGTTTTATGAAGTTAAGGGAGAAGAAAACTCCAGGTTTGTTGATATGTGGATGAAGTCCTATAAGTGGCAGACTTCAGGGAGGATAGATAAATGTCTTACAAGGTTCCCCAGAGTCTGGGAATCCACAAAAGATGGTTTTTCAGGGCTATAAACCTTCTTTATTTGTTATGATATGCCAGAGACAGGTTTGAAAGCAAGCTTTAGAATGTGGAGGAATAAGATAATAAAACCCTCCTGTCTGGTGAGTCCTTATCAGGCAGTGACTTCCCAAGTCTTTTAGTTAAGAACCTGGGTAAGAGAAAAATAAAAGGTCAGGTTTAGTCCTCAGGAACGTATTCTCAGAAAAAGAACTGCAGTTTCCTTTCAGAAGCCAACCTGGAAATGTTCCAAAAAATTCCATGGAATGGGTTATTTGGGAAGGATCTTGAAAGCTAGACTGACACTTTTGACCCCCTCCACAAGGGCCAGTCCAGATCCTTCAGATGTCTCCTGTGGGCCAGCAAAACTCATCATGTGACAGTTGCTCCCCAGAGTCACCTACTTTATTCACTGTTCCCGGGCTCCCAGCACAAACAAGGCTTGCCTCCCAAAAATCCCCCCGATGGCAGTAGCAGAAGAGGCTGCCCCAGGGCAAAGTGAAGTGTGTCCTTAAGCAGCATTGAGGCAGAGAAGCTAGTACAGGTTAGACATAGATACACTTCTTGTAGGCAGGTTTTAGAAAGCATCCAGACATCCTGTTGGCAGGTTGAATAGCCTCATGAGCTGGAACATGAATTCAAGGTGAATTCCCAGTCCTCCCCACCCCCTCAGTTTGCCAAGGGAAAACTCCTTCAAGGTGGGAATCAAAAAGCCACAGAAATGAAAATAAGACCACCTTCTAGCTCAAGAACCTACATATTGAGAAGTCTGGCAAGTTTCCCTGGAAAAGACCACCCCTCCACCCATCAGAGGTAGAGAGACTAAATGGGTATATCAACAGGCTTATGAGAAAGTGGATTAAAGGACATAATGGATTTAATATACAGCCATTTTAATGAACAGCCATTTTAATATTGCCTAAATCTTATGTTTTTTCTAGCAGTTCACTTAAGTTACTGTCTAATCACTAGCCAAGGGCAGAATCGGTTTCTCAGAGGTAGCTATTGATAATTGTTTTACAACCCCTCTCCCCAACCTATTTTGTACCTTTTAGCTTTTCTATTACAACTATTTGCCTCCACCCATAAGACCCAAGTTAACCTACTCAGCCCTTTGTGACCTTCATGACACAGATGATCCTGTCACCATGGCAGCAATCATGTGACTGGCCTACCCACCTGCCTGCTGTCCATCACCTGATGTCAGTACCTGTGCTTACCTGCCCCTTCGTGATGAAATAGAGCAGGCCACCACCCAATCACCTTAATGATCTTCCCCCATCAAAGGGAAGGAATAAAGGGACTCAACTATGAGCAGCCAGCTGCCACTGCCTTACTAGACTCTGGCGTGGCCATGTGCTCTTGGAGCTCGGGCCACCACCATGTTTCCTGACTTTGGCCCCCTCCCCTATCTTGGGGAGGTGAATCTTCTCTTTCTCTCTAATTTACTTTCTAAATAAACTATATTTTCTAATCTAACTTCTGTGCAATTCTTCGCAACTTTCTTGAGGCCCGGGTCACACACCAGGCACCCACACCCTGGAGGGCCTGACCTAACATTCTGGAGGCCTCTCTGGGAGTGTGACCTAACAGTGGAGGTATGGCTTAACACAAAAATTTTGCTGGTGACAAATAAAAAGATAAAAACCTAATAAAAATGATAGCACAGTTTTAAACATGCTAAATGGGGATTAAGAAACATAAAAAAGGGAAATACATAAATACTGCAATACCTATGACACTTTACCTTGGAAAATGCTTGAAATTGCTTGTGGGCCTTACAGACTCTACTCTCCCACTGGCCAGTCCCACCTAGCTTCTGTGCCCACCACCCTTATCAAGGAAAATAACAAGAGATAGAAAAAGAGTGAGGGAATAGTGATAAAGAGAGCAAACAGCAGAGAACCAAGAGGAACGTGAAGAAATACTGAAGAAAGAGGAGGGCATGAAGCTGCTCAGTCAAGTTACAACTCGCTATTGTGAGGTAGTGGAAGGAGAGTTATCTACTCAGAAAATTGAAACGCCAGATGTGTTTCAATGTGGCTAGTGACCCTGTGAAGTGTGTGGTGTGTGTATTTTGTGTATTCCTATCCAGTTCATTTCAGTTGGGTGTAATTTTTAGTTTGCCTAGTATTCCTTTTTTTTTCTTTTTGAGTGTCACTCCGTCGCCCAGGCTGGAGTGCAGTGGCATGCTCACAGCCACCTCAGCCTTGACCTGCTGGGCTCAGGCGATCTTTCCACCTCAGCCTTCCAAGTAGCCATAACTACAGGCATGTGCCACCACACCCAGCTAATTTTTTGATTTACTGTAGAGACGAGGGAGGTCTCACCAAGTTGCCTAGGCTGGTCTTGAACCCACAGGCTCAGGCAATCCACTTGCCTTGGCCTCCCAGTGCTGGTATTATAGGATGAGCCACTGAGCCCGGCCTATTTATTTAGATTTTTAAGAAACAAGGTCTCTCTCTGTTACCCAGGCTGGAGGACAGTGATGTGATAGTAGCTCATTACAGCCTTGACTTCCTGGGCTCAGGGAATCCTTCCACCTCAGCTGGGACTACTGGCATAAGTCACTGTGCTTGACAGTTGGGTGATATTCTAGAGTCTAAATCGTTGATCTATTCTCTCCTGATAGCATTTTTGTTGCCTATAGTTTTTACCTATTACAGATTGTACTACAATAGATTTCATTGTGTCATTGAGTATTTCTTTAAGACAGATTCCTGGAAATGTAATTGTTGAGTCAAAAGATAAGTGTGTTTTCATCCTCATAGATGCTACACAAATTGTGCTCTAAAAAAGTTGTACTAACAATAAAGGAAAGTACTATTTTCTCGGGAATACTGACATTGGATATTAAGAATTTTCAAAAATTTTGCCAATCTGATATGTGAAAAAACAGTAACTTGGTTGATTTTGCATATGCCTAATAAGTAATGAAGCTGCATATTTTTTCAAATGTTTATTGACTATTTTTGGTTTTTTTTCCCTGAGGCAATATCTATTCATTTTTACCAATTCTTCTACTAGGTTATTCTTTTTCTATCAATTTGTAGGAATTCTTAATATATTAGGGATATAAACTTTTTTCTTATTGTTTGGGTTGCATATATTTCCCCTCAGTCATTGGTTTCTAAATTTTTTAAATGGAAGACAACACTCTGAAGTGGAAGTTATTTAACTTCAATTATGTCCTAGGTTTAAACTTTCTTGATGTTGGAGGGTTGACTGTGGTGATCTGCACTTCTGACTGAAAGGGTCAGACTGTGATGGAGACTCATTTGAATGGCTTGTGTTTAGTGAATCTGGAAGACATTTTGGATCTTATGATAATTATTCTGCTAATTGATAAATTAGAATATTTGACTTACAAAGATGCAAACCATAGGGTAGAATATATATTATAAAAGTTTAATATAGAAACACTGGAAACATGTATGAATAACTGCATTTTCTTTAATGTATGAGCAAGTGCAAGTAATTTTGCTATTGGATTATCATCAAAAGGGGTAGAAAATGATACCTAGCAATGCTCTTCCCCTCTTCAAAAAAACCTCAGCCGAGTCTGTCCATCAACTCTACCAGGAACTTTTTCATACACTAGACGTCGTTTTTTGAACTGTGGTAGTTGTGAGTACATAAAACCTGTTAAAATGAGAAAAAGGCAAACCATTTTACTACTTACAGTAGTAAAGTTGTAGCTGTTTTTTCCGCAGCTGTTCAAGTGAAACCTGTTTCTTCACTATTTATCTACAAAATTTCCAAACTGAGATACAGTAAGAACTATTAAAAGTTACGGCTTTAACATAAATGCACTTCTACCTAATAGTCCAGTATTAAACATTAGTATTAAATACACATATTTCTATGCTCATGTCTTGTACAAATAGTTTGGCAAGTTATGCTATATAACCTCTAAAGTCTCTTCTAGTTCTAATATTTTTAAGTAAAACATTTGAAAATTGTCTGGGAAGCAACTTAGGCAGGGCTTCTTAATTCCTGAAGGTTTTCAATAAGTTCTCATTAAATAGGATACTAATTAGAGGCTCGCCTTGATTGAGTTTGAAACTAAAACAAAGACATATTGCCTGAGTACCTTTTGTGTTTCTATCTTTGTGATGATTCTGTCAGGCTTTTTTCTCTTCTTTTTTAGTTTTCCCTTCCTGTTCCTGACTGTAGCTTTTTTTTTTTTCTCACTTTGGCCATTCTTCTCATGAACATAGACCCTCATCTGTAGGATACTATATTCACTAAGACATATTCATTTTCAGGGAAGGATAATGTGTTTGGAATTTAACTAGAAATTAATGTATTTAAAGTCATGTCTGGAAAATAAATGTTTAATTCCAATTAAGAAGTAAACAATCTTTAAATAAATAATTAGATGAAACGCAGGGATTTGTTTTGGTTTTGTTTTGTTTTGTTTTGTTTCACTCTGTCGCCCAGGTTGGCATGCAGTGGCATGATTACAATTCACTGCAGCCTCAACCTCCTGGGCTCAGGCAATCCTTCCGCCTCAGCCTCATGAATAGCTGGGACTATAGGCATCTGCCAGCATGTCTGGCTAATTTTTTAAAAAAATTCTACCTCAGCCTTCCAAGTAGCTGGAGTCACAGGCACGCAAAAAAAAAAAAAAAAAAACAATTTTTTTTTTTTTGGTAGAGATGAGGTCTTGCTATGTTTTCCAGGCTGATCTCAACTCCTGGGCTTAAGTGATTCTCCTGACTCGACATCCCAAAGTGCTGGAATTATAGGTGTTAGCCACCTTGCCAGGACAGGGAATGTTAATCATGACAGGACCCTGGTACTTCACTGTGAAGCTGTGGGAAAGCCTGGGCTGACACTGGTAGCATGCTGGTAAATGTTTAGCAACCAGTTCTCAGGGTAGCTTAGGATAAAGGGGTTAAGGCTTGATTTGTAGCATTTGCCAATTTCAATGGCATGAAGACTTCCACCATGGTTGATTTTAAGCTGCCAACATGATAAGAAAAATGTTGTTTTATCAATCCCCCATAGCCAACTCTAAATTTCTAAACATCTTTACATTTCTTTTTGTGTATCTGCTAGGAAGTTTTCCCATGAAATGAATTTCTCTTTTGCACCTATTTAATAATTCTCATTATTTATATATGGATAAACATATACTCTTATTCTTAGTATTCACATATTCAGTTATAAAGAATTCAAACCAGCTAATGTAAAGTGTCCGAAGAAAATTCAAAGATAAAAATAGTTTTGAAGAGATTGTTAGCATTTTGGAGTGTATGAACAAAATTCACTACATCCTTGCCAAGGTGGCTAGAATAATGATGAGTAAATGGAAGAAATAAATAATAAACTGACCACAATGAGAAGTAACAAAAGCTCAAAAATCGACACAAAATACCTCACTCTTAGCTGAAAAGAAAAAAATAAAATTGCAATTAACGGATCAATAAGAAAAAAAATTAGGATGCTATATTAAAAAATGATGTTAGAATTTACATTTAGCTTACATTCCATAGTTCTTAATATACCATTTTAAAGACTGTTGCTTTTAAGCTTTCTCTCATTAGTTTGTTCCTTGACTCATAGCCATGATGTTGTGGAATTTACATCCTGATGAATGATAGGTGGTGATCATGTAATAACTCTCTCTATATGATTTTATTATACATTAACCTGAAATAGCCTAGATTTGGATACTTACAGAGATCAATTATTAAATCAGTAGGAAGGGAGATGAAAACATTTAACACAGTTTTAGTAATTATTCCTGGGGATAGAATCTCATAATTGCAAGAGCTGGGATAGCATTACAAGCAAGTTTAAAAAGAAATGTATTACATGAACATGCTAAAAAAAAAAAAAGCAATGTAGTGGGTAATTATATCATAGAGATCACATATCTATATCAGGGTGCTAAAAAAGTATATACACATTTTAAGACATGTTATCTATGTATTATTTTTTGAAGTTGAATTGAATTACGGTAGCAACGTATGGTATGATGTTCATTCAAAAGATGGCATTAATCAGATGAATGCTAGTGTCACCATGCAACAGGCAGGACAGTCAAAGGAAATGGTGGACGACAGTTGTCATTTGAAGAGCGCAAGACCATTTTGAAGTAGTATTTGAAATTTGAGAACACTGTGGAAGTACAACAACAAAGGAGGCATGAGTATGCAACAGAACCTCCAACATGCCTAACGACTACACAAATTCATGATAAGTTTGGGATGCACAGTACTGTGTGTGATGTGCACAAGGGAAGATCTGGGAGGCCTCACACAGCAACAAGTCCTGCAGTAGTTCACATAATCAGAACTGTCTGGACGCTGATGATAACCATTTTGAGCACCTCTTGTTACAGCAGAAGTCAAATGTGACTTGTAGTCATCTTTTGTTATTGGTATATATTGAGTATTACAATTTTAATACAGTTTTTTTCCTTTCTTAAAATGTGTATACACTTTTTGGCACCCTCTGCATATACTACAGAACAAATGGAAAATTATCTTGAGGTTATGGGTTATCACAATGGCTTTGGATGAATTTTCACAGGGCTATATCAATATTGACTCAAAAATATATCTTAAACAATGTATTTGGAGGTAATGCTGTGCTATGAAAAGCCACAGTTAAATAAGTCAAAATTTGCCATAATGATAATGAAGATACTAGTATCAAAGATTCATGTGAATTGTTTGAATAAAATTATTTTATGGGAATAATCTGGAAAGTAGAAAATATTTTTCTAAACTGACATTATTTTATATAATATGTGATTTAAAAATATATAACTAAACTAGTGAATGAAAATGTAGGTATATGTTTGACTATTCCATCCAAAATGTAAAACCAAAATGTAAGAATTTATTGAAAAACAACTTCTGGGATTTTATCATTGAGAAACAAGGGGATTATCCTATATATTAGAGTGCCCTATTTTCAAGAATATATAGTAATTCACATGCTTAATTTGTTTCAGAGTAGGAAAAGGTCTTTTATGTAAAAATGTAATAAGCCACAGATAAAGAACACAGACTAATTTCATAAATGTAGATATGAAAGTCATAAATACAAGACAGCAACCACATTTAACACCATATTAAAAGAATAATCTCAAAAGCTAATTATGTTTATCACAGAAATGGCAAAAATGACTTAATATTAATAAACCTGTAAATATAAGTTTTGACATCAAGAGGTCAATAGAGAAAACACATTTGATTTTTCCAAATAGATACTAAAAAGAGTTTGGATAAAATTTAGCATGTATTCCTCACAGAAGTCCATACAAAACTAGAGGTAGAATACTTACCATTAAATTCAGAAACAAAACAAGTTATGACTATTAAATGGAAGCAAATTTGAGTTTTGTGAGTCCTGAAGCCATTGTCCTTTGAGAGGTGCTCTCTTTTTTTTTTTTTTTTTTTGAGTCAGAGTCTCACTCTGTCACCCTGGCTGGAATATAGTGGCACACTCATGGGCACTGCAGCCTCAACTTGCTGGACTCAGGCGATCCTTCCACCTCAGCCTTTCAAATAGCTGGAACTACAGATGTGTACCACCATGCCTGGCTAGAGAGGTGCTCTTTTACAATACAATACAAAAAATATAGATTTTCTGGTCCTCTCTCAGGCCTCACAAAAGAGCTTATGCAAAAGAGAAGCTTTGGAATTTATGTTCCTCCCCACCTTTTTTTTTTTTTTTATCCTGGTTAAGGCCACCTTTGTATGGCCATCAGAACATAGTATTTTGTTCGAGATGCTTGGGCCATTGCAATAAGAAATGAGACTGAAAGAAAAGGTAGAATTACTGGAAATGAGAAAATAAAGCAAAAAAAATTTTGACATGATTAAATGTTCAAACAACTCAAAAACATTCATCAAAATGAAGATAAAATAATAGTACCTATTTAATGGAATTTTCAGAATTAAAATAAACAGTCCACATAAAGGGCTTAGAATGGTGACTGGTTTTTTTTTTTTTTTGAGTTAAAGTCTCACTCTGTTGCCCAGGCTGGTGTGCAGTGCCATGATCACGGTTCACCGCAGCCTTGAGCTGCTGGGCTCAGGCAATCCTTCTGCCTCAGCCTTCCAAGTAGCTGGGACTATAGGCATCTGCCACCACGCCTAGCTGATTATTTGATTTTTTTGTAGAGAGAAGGTCTTGCTATGTTGCTCAGACTGGTCTTGAACCCCAGAGCTCAGATAATCCTCTCGCCTCTGCCTCCCAAAGTGCTGGGATTACAGGTGTGAGCCACCATGCCTGGCTATCTAATAAGTTCTTAATAAATGTTAGCCAATTAAATATCTTTGCCCCTTAAAGAGGTTAATTTTATAATTTTCTAATTCACTGATTCTTCTTTTTTATCTTTGGTGATTTTAGTCTTATGCTTTACTTAGATATGTCCTGTTTTTCAAATTCCACTAGACCTAAAAAAAAGAGGTACACAGCAACACATAATAGTGGTAGACTTCAACACTCTGCTTACAGCAATAAACAGATTATCAAGGCAGAAGATCAACAAAGAAACACTGGAGTTAAACAAGACTCTAGAGGAAATGGAACGAACAGACATCTACAGAGCATTCCATCCCAAAACTATAGAATATACATTTTTTTCAGCACATGGAACATTCTCCTAGATAGGCCATATGATAGGCCACAAATTGAGTCTCAATAAATTCAAAAATATTAAAATCATATCAAGCACCTTCTCAGACCACAGTGGAATAAAACTAGATTAACTCCAAGAACTTGTGAAACCAAACAAAAACATGGAAGTTAAACAATTTGCTCCTGAATGATCTTTGGATCAGCAATGAAATCAAGATGGAAATTTAAAAATTCCTTGAAATGAATGCCAACAATGAAATAAGTTATCAAAACCTCTGGGACACAGACAAATGTGTGCTCAAAGGAAAATATATAGCACTTAAAGTCTATATTAATAAGACTGAAAGACTGCATATCGAAAACTTAACATCATACCTCAAGGAACTAGAAAAACACAAACAAACCAAACCCAAAGCTAGCAGAAGAAAATAAATAATGAAGACCACAGCAGAACTAAATGAAACTGAAATATAAAAAATACAAAGGATCAATGAAACAAAAAGTAGATTAATTAAGAAACGAAAAGAGAAGACTCTAACTCAATCAGAAATGAAAAAGGAGACATTATAACTGATACAAAGGAAATTCAAAAGATCATCCAAGACCATTATAAACACCTCTATGCAAATAAACTAGACAATCTAGAGGAAATGGATAAATTCTTGGAAGCATACAAACCTCCCAATCTTGAATCAGGGTGAAATAGAAACCCTGCACAGACCAGTAACAAGTCATGAGACTGAAACAGTAATTAGAAGTCTCTCAACAAAAAAAAAAAGTCTGGATTCTACCAGACCTTCAAAGAAGAATTGGTACTAATTTTACAGAAGCTATTTAAGATTGAAGAGGGGCCCTCCTCTCTAACACATTCTATGAGGCCAGTATCACTCTGACACCAAAGCCAGGAAAAGACACAACAAAAAAAGAAGACTATAGACCAATATCCCTTAGAAAAATAGACACAAAAATACTCAGCAAAATATTAGCAAACCGAATTCAAGAGCACATTAAAAAAAAAAAAAAATTATGTACCACCACCAAGTGGGTTTTATCCCAGGGATGCAAGTATGGTTCAGTACATGCGAGTCAATAAACGTGATTCACTACATATGTAAACAGAATTAAAAACAAAAATTGTATGATCACTTCAATAAACACAGAAAATGCATTTGATGAAATCCAGCATCCCTTCATGATAAAAACCTTCAACAAAATAGGTATAGAGGGAATATTCCTCAAGATAATAAAAACTATAGTCAACAAACTCACAGCCAATGTCATCCTGAATGGAGAAAATTTGAACACACTTCTCTCTCAGAATTGGAACAAGGTAAGGATGCCCACTTTTTTTTTTTTTTGAGTTGGAGTCTTACTCCGTCACCCAGGCTGGAGTGCAGTGGCATGCTAACAGCCATCCCAGCATCGATCTGCTGGGCTCAGGTGATCCTTCTGCCTCAGCCTTCCAAGTAGCCGGAACTATAGGTGCGTGCTACCACGCCTGGCTAATTTTTGATTTGTTGTAGAGATGAAGTCTCACCAAGTTGCCTGGGCTGGTCTTGAACCTGTGGGCTCAGGCAATCCACTCACCTAGGCCTCCCAAAGAGCTGAGATTACAGGCTGAGCCACTGAGCCTGGCCTGGATACCCACTTTTACCACTACTATCTAACATAGTATTAGAAATCCTAGCCAGAGCAACTAGGCAAAAAAGAAAAAAAAGAAAGAAAGAAAGCATGTCCAAATTGGAAAAGAAGAAATCAAACTATCTCTGTATGCTGACAATATGATCTTATACCTACAGAACCCTAAAGACTCCTCCAAAAGACTCTTGCACTTGATAAATGAATTTGGTCAAGTTTCAGGATATAAAATCAACACACCTAAATCAGTAGCACTGCTATACACCAATAGCAATCAAGCTGATAAATAAATCAATAACTCAATTCAATTTACAATAGCAGCCAAAAAGCTAAAATACCTAGGAATTTATTTAACCAAAGAGGTTAAAGACCTCTACAAGGAGAACTACAAAACTCTGATGAAAAAAATTACAGGCCAGGCTCAGTGGCTCAGCCTATAATCCCAGCACTTTGGGAGGCCGAGGTGAGTGGATTGCCTAAGCCTGCGGGTTCGAGACCCACCTGGGCAAGTTGGTGAGACCTCATCTCTACAATAAATCAAAAACTAGCTGGGTGTGGTAGCACACACCTGTAATTCCAGCTACTTGGAAGGTTGAGGCGGAAGGATTGCCGGAGCCCAGCAGGTCGAGGCTGTGGTGGCTGGGAGCATGCCACTGCACTCCAGTCTGGGCGATGGAGTGAGACTCCAAACCCCACCCCCCAAAATAAAGAAAAAAATTGCAGCGGACACAAACAAATGGAGAAACACTCATGCTCATGGATTGGAAGAACCAATATTGTTAAAATGACCATATTAGCCAAACTAATCTACAGATTCAATGCAATCCTTATCAAACTACCAATATCATTTTTCACACAATTAGAAAAAACAATCCTAAGATTTGTATGCAACCAAAAAAGAACCAGAAACCAGAATAGCCAAAGCAATCCTAAGCAAAAAGAACAAAGCTGGAGGCATCATGTTATCTGACTTCAAATTAAACTACAAAGCTATAGTAACCAAAACAGTATGGTACTGATACAAAAGTGACACATAGATTAATGGAACAGAATAGAGAATCTGGAAATAACCCAAATGCTTACAACCAACTGATCTTGGACAAAGCAGACAAAAACATACAATAGGGAAAGGACACCGTAATCAACAAATGGTGCTGGGAAAATTGGATAGCTACATGTAAAAAATGAAACTTGACTCCTGTCTCTCCATATATATATATATTAATAACTTAAGATGAATTAAATAATTAAATATCAGACCTGAAACCATAAAAATCCTAGAAGAAAACCTAGGAAAAACTCTTTTTTTTTTTTTGAGTTGGAGTCTCACTTGGTCGCCCAGACTGGAGTGCAGTGGCCGGTCCTGGCTGCCGCAGCCTCGCTTGCTGGGCTCCGGCGATCCTTCCGCCTCAGCCTTCCGAGTAGCCGGAATTACAGGCATGCGCTACCACACCAGGCTGATTTTTTGATCTACTGTAGAGATGAGGTCTTGCTGCCCGGGCGGGTCTCGAACCTGTGGGCTCAGGCAATCCACTCACCTCAGCCTCCCAAAAGCACGGGATTACAGGCTGAGCCACCGAGCCCGGCTGGAAAAACTCTTATGGACACTGGCCTAGGCAAAGAATTTATGGCTAAAATTCCAAAAGCGAATGCAACAAAAATAAATAAATAATAAATAAGCTTAATTAAACGAAAAAGCTTCTTCACAGCAAAAGAAATAATCAACAGAACAAATAGGCAACCTACAGAATGGGAGAAGATATTTGCAAACTATACATCTGACAAAGGACTAATATCCAGAATCTACACATAACTCAAACAAATCAGCAAGAAAAAAGCAAATCACCCCATTAAAAAGTGGGCAAACAACATGAACAGACATCTCTCAAAAGAAGATATACAAATGGGCAACGAACATATGAAAACATGCTCAACATCACTCATCATCAGGGAAATGCAAATTAAAAATGCATTGAGATGGCACCTTATACCAGTCAGAATTGTCATTATTAAAAAATAAAAATAAAAAGATGCTGGAATAGATGTGGAGAAAAGGGAACACTTACGCACTGTTGGTGGGAGTGTAAATTAGTACAACCTCTATAAAAAGTTGTATGGATATTTATCAAAGAAATAAAAGTAGATCTACTATTTGATCCAGCAATCCCACTACTAGGTATCTCCCTAAGGAACAGAAGTCATTACATAAAAAAGATACCTGCATCTACATGTTCATCACAGCACAATTCACAATTGCAAAAATGTGGACTCAACCTAAGTTTCCATTGATTGATCAGTGGATAATGAAAATGTGGTGTATATATATACCATGGAATACTACACAGCCATAAAAAAGAATGAAATTATGTCCTTTGCAGCAACTTGGATTGAGTTGGAGATCATCATCCTAAGTAAACCAACTCAGAAACAGAAAACCAAACACTGCATGTTCTCACTCATATGTGAGAGCTAAATGGCAACAAAGATAAAAGTAATAGACATTGGTGACACCAATAAGAGGGGAGGGAGAAGGGGCTTAGGGTTCAGAAACTATGTTCACTCTCTAGGAAAGGGGCCACCTGAGGCCCAGTCTCCACCACTGCACAATATGTCCATGGAGCAAACATGCATGCATATGCCCTGAATTTAAAATAAAATAAAAAATTTTTAAATACAATAGGAAAATAATTTTTTAAAGATATGTCCTGTTTTTATTTTTAACTTCTCAAATTGAATGCATAGTTCATTTAAAGCTATGAGAATTTGACATATATTCTTTGCATTTTAGAGTTTTGATTTTCTCTTTGACACAAAAGTTATTAGAGAATTTTTAAGTATAGTAATTAAAACAAAAACCTTTAAGTTTGGAAATGGTTTTATCTTTTCAAATTAAATTTGAGAGTAGTTTTATTGCCTATTGGATAGCGTTACCTGTTAAGGATTCCTTGTCTCCTGAGTTATATGAAGATTCAGGGTGTCTCTTCTGTCCTATACATTTTCCAGCTCTTTGGTAGAAATAAGGACTGCTGAATTCTTCTTGATTTACATTAGAATCAGAAGCACCAAATAAATCCAAACTGGAGACAGATGGTAATTCTCTCCAGAAAGTCTTCTTAGTCTCATCATTTGAACTTTCACACCTGAAATCTTCAAATTCATTCGATAGACATTTTTGTTGATGAGTGAATAAGTTATCTTTCTGAGAGTACCACTTGTCACATCTAGTATGCTCTGCACCATACTGCAAGTTGAATGAGTGATTCTCTGGTTCCCACACATTTTTCATAAAATTCCAACGAAGAGGAGATTGAGAGCCCTCTAGTGAAGAGATAGGGGCAGATACTTCTTTATTTATGAATCCTTTTGCTTTGTGTGTTCCCTTTTGCTGACAATTTATAAAATTAGGGACAACTGATACTCTCTTCTGAGTGTCAACTGGTGATATTATAGTTTCACATTTCTTTTGTGTTAGACCCAAAGAAAAGACATCTGACTCTGAATCACTCTGATTTAAGAAGTTACAAGCTGCTTTCCTTGGTTCCATATTAATTAGAAAAGGACTATGCTGCATTTTATTAGGATTACAAATGGGGTCTTTCCGGTAGCTGGTCTGATTGTATGAAGTCACAGATGGTAAAATGCATGGTATTTCTTTTAGTTCAATAAAGGAAGAGTTATAATTTGAAGTGGTGTCTGTATCTTCCTCCATTGTCTCTCCTAATTCTGAATATTTGTAATATTCATTGTGTTTTTGAATAACAGAATCTGAAGAAGCAGAAGCTGAACTCTGAGAAGACAAGGTACTAGTCTGATTCCTATTTTCCCAGAGTGATGAAATTTGAGGTGATTTTGTTATAGGAGAACTAATCTTGAATAAGGAAGTGATGCTACAAAAGTGCTAAAAAATTAATCAATACAATATAAATATCAGTTTAAATATAAATAATGCTTACCTATATGGAAAGAAGGCAAAATATAGTGTTTTCATAGATGTTAAATGAGCCAGGTATTAAGAACATAAAATAACTAGGCTCCATTAAAGAAAAAATGTATTATAATTTGCCTTTATCTTCTAATTACTTATAATATAATAATTTTTTTTTTTTTGAGTTGGAGTCTCACTCTGTCACCCAGACTGGAGTGCAGTGGCATACTCCCGGCCACTGCAGCCTCGACCTGCTGGGCTCCGGCGATCTTTCTGCCTCAGCCTTCCGAGTAGCTGGAACTATAGGTGTGAGCAACCATGCCCGGCTAATTTTTGATTTTATTGTAGAGATGAGGTCTCGCCAAGTTGCCCAGGTGGGTCTTGAACCCGTGGGCTCAGGCAATCCACTCACCTCAGCCTCCCAAAGTGCTGGGATTACAGGCTGAGCAACTGAGCCCGGCTTAATTGAATTATTTAAGAGCACAGTAATATTTCAAAATAAATTTAATTGTGATAAACTGATTATATTAAATTGCCAGTTTAAAATGTATAATATGGGCTGGATGTGGTGGTTCAAGGCTGAAATCCCAGCATTTTGGGAGTCCAAGGTGAGAGGATTGCCTAAGTCCAGGGGTTTGAGACCAGCCTAGGCAACTTGGTGAGACGTTGTCTCCACAATAAGCAAAAAAAATTAGCCAAGCATGGTGGTACACACCTGTGGTTCCAGCTACTTGGAAGGCTGAGGCGGAAGGATCGCCTGAGCCCAGCAGGTCAAGGCTGCAGTGGCCATGAGCATGCCACTGCACTCCAGCCTGGGCAACAGAGTGAGACTCCAACTCAAAAATAAATAAATAAATAAATAAACAAACAAGTAAATAAATAAAATGTATAATATGACTGATAGCTAATGAGAATTCTATATAAAATTTAGTTCAAGTAAATTATTTTTTTGCTACGTAAAGTCTAAAACCATTAAACTTGAAGAACTTCATTTTGAAAATTCTGTTGTAAACATAGATATTCAAATAAAAAGAAAATAAACTCATATAATAATATAGATTTCAAATAACTAACCTCTAACACTTTTTCTGGAACTTCAGGTAAGAGATTCTGAAGTTGACACAGAGTTGCTAATAATATCCAACGCAGTGAAGGTCCTTTATTTAACATGAGCTGAGCCACCAATGGGTTAATACACGGAAAATCAAGTAAGTACATTTCTTCCTAGAAAAGAGTTTAAGAAATAATCAGCCAGTGGTCTTCTGAATGTGATACATTTTATTATGCTCACTGCAGCAGATTAAAAATTTTTATCATCCCATCTATCATTCAGTTTGGGACACCTGGAAAAAACATTACCAGAAAGTAAATTCAAGTACCTTTTTTTGAGTTGGTGTCTCACTCTGTCGCCCAGGCTAGAGGGCAGTGGCACGCTCACGGCCACTGCAGCCTCGACCTGCTTGGCTCAGGTTATCCTTCTGCCTCAGCCTTCCAGGTAGCTGGAACTACAGGCATGTGCCACCATGCCCAGCTAATTTTTAAAAATTTATTATAGAGATGAGGTCTCGTCAAGAAGCCCAGGCTGATCTTGAACCCGTGGGCTCAGGCTATCCTCTCACCTCGGCATTCCAAAGTGCTGGGATTGTGGTATGAGCCACCACGCTCGGCCTAAGTACATGTATTTATATTAGCTTTGCAAATATTTAATCTATACGTTTAGAAATAAACCTTGGATGGTGAAACTTCAAGCCAGGATTTATCCAACCATTCCCGAGGCTCTCTCTTTGAGGTCATTAAATTGTGGTCAGCAATTTGTCGAATTATCAATGCAGTCTCTTCTACTCCTGGGGCAATTATAAGCTAAAACATATATTTTATATGTTAGATTACAGAAAATATTAGGAAGAAAAATGAAGCATTCAAAAATAGTTTTTAATTAGAAGAGAAAATTAAACATCAGCAGATTCTAATCTTTAACACTACTTTAGATATCAACTTATTGATTTATCTATGTTGAACTTAGAACATTTTATTTGTGAGGACAGCAAATTTTCTTTCCTTCTTTAAATATGATATCCTTGTATTTTTCAATTTTTGGAACAAAATTGTTTTCACTTTCATTTGGCATTTATTAATAAAGTCTTTAAAATATATTTAGTTTTAAATTTCATTGATATTAGAAGAAACAGTAATTTGAGTATCATTAGTAATATTTACTATTTTGCTCTTTCTAGGTTAAACCTAATAGTTCTCAACTAAAAATAAAAATCTTAAAACTATAGTGCCAGAATGTTTAAAAACAAAGTTAAAAAACAAAGATACTTTTAAATGAATTTGATGTTGTATTCAAAAAGGAAAAAATAAGATTCTGATATAGTCATTTCCAGCATTTTGGGAATTGTTCATCAAATATTGACTTACTGATTCTGATTCCCTTGTCAAAAGTATGTTTGTGTGTATGTGTGTGTCTATAATAAACTTAACTTTAAAAAAAATTTTTTTAATATTCTGTTTCTTGTCTGCCACTGATTTCCTCTATGCCCATCTCTCTTCTGAAATGTCAACCTTTTTCTTCTGCTTTCTCTTTGTTTTCTTCCTCATTGTTTAGATTTAGTTGGAGGAAAAGTAGTTCATATGTTAGCAGTTTAATGTGAACAGAGAAATACTGCTCTAAATAATCACATCTTGGAAATATAAATGTCCTGTATTGGAAATTTAAGAAACTGTACAAATCTCACAAAATAATTATGACTATTTCTTCTTTTACAAAAAGAAATACAAACTGTTAGTACACACTTGGGGTGTATATGTCTTCTAAAGAAGGATTTTCTTTAAATTATATCGTACAAGGGGGGGAACCCAAAAAAACCCCAGAATTTATTTATTTAATAACTGTGCATTTACTCTTACATGTTTAAACTTCAGTCACCTTCAAAGTATTCTGTATTTGATGCAATACACCTATCGAGATACTTTTTCCACTGCTCAGAATAGTTTTTTAACTTGTCAATTTTGATGCCCTTTAGTGCTTCTGCTATTTTTTTCTTTGTTTCACCTCTTCCACGTTGGCAAAACAGTGAGGACTTTTTTTATCCAGGGAAACAAAAAATTATCACTCTGGGTGAGACTGGATGGATGGGAAGGTTGGAATAGAGGGGTCAAACCACTGTTGGTTAAAAACTGCTAAACACTCAGTGTGGTGTAGGGAGGTACACTCGTAAATCACCTGTCATAAAATGGGCAAACACGTTGAAAGATTCTGCCCCCCACAAAAAAAATTAACTGAAGCTGAACACAACTTCTCACAACAATGCTAGTTGGTACACTGATGCTGACTGAGTCCTAGAACACTTACCTAGTGAGAGAAGCCTGTACTACCAGGGACCTGCCTTCCAAAAGGTAATTCCAGTTCTTTTGGGGTTCTTCCTTATATATAGGTAGAGTATGCAGAAATACACTAGTCAATTATAAAGATATTTTATTGCTAGTTTTGGCTGTTTTGAGATAATATGACACTTTCATTTTAATATAAACTTTATTTTAAAAGATATGAGTTTATACTGGTGGTAATGAACATTTTCCTAATTTATTAGAGCAGAAATTCTGGGACTCATGGCTAGACTTGGGGGATTCAGGAACCACTGTAAATTGTTTATAAAATTTTGCACATATATCTATGCATTTTTCTGCAAAAAGGGCTCATAAAAATTTATAGAACTTTAAAAAAATTAGAATAACATTTGGCATAACACCACTAGCATCATTTCCTTTTAATTTAAGAAAATATACTTAAACTTCCTAATACTTCTTTCATTTTCAGGCTCATTAGCTTGTCAGGTTCTTCAGAAGCCTGAAAAAAAAAAAGGTGCCATAATTTATACTGATGGGCTCTAAGAGACCTTGTAATGTAAGGTAAAGCAACAATACGTTCCAAAATAATATCAGAATAGGGGACATCCTTTAATGTAATAATGTCATTAAGTCAGGACAACAGGAGGCTGACCTGGTGATACCAGAGTAAGAGCAAATGGACCAAAACTGCCTCTTAAAGTCCATGGAAAAAGTGACCGATTTTTTTTTTTTTTTTAGGTTATTATGTAAAACCTGAAAATCTTTTGGAATAGTTTGATCTGGGTAGAAGCAGACTTTTGTTTGGAACAGACTGTTGCCGGGCCATACTCCTACTTCATCCCTGAATGCTTTCCTTGAGTCATGCCCTTTCAGGACCACATTGCTATACCTGAATATAGTACCACTTGCTGGTATCATATGCCTCATGTATACAGTAAAAAATAATTTCTAAAGCATATCTTGCATATAATTGCCATGAGCTGAGAAGGGAAGAGGCTAAATAAGTGGTGAAACCTTAGCTGAGCAAATGAATGAGACAAATTTACATTTGCCATTTATTTACTTAGATAGCTTTTCTAAAGAATTTTATTTCTATGTTTAGTGTGCATTACAGAAACAAAACTATCTGGAATTCTTTTTCAAGCAGATGATTTGTTGATTTTCTTAGCAGGTTGTTCTTTGATTAAATTATACTTAGTAGATGTTTGTTGAATTTTTTTGCTTTGTACAAAGCACTGTGCTAGCTGCTACAGATTTTACAAATAAAAAGGACCTAGTTGTTACCCTTCAAGGTGAAGGATATATGAACAAATACTTCATACTATAATAAAGGTGTGAAGTATTACTGGGAGAATGGGAGAAGGAGAGATTTATTCAGAGAGGATATGACTGGGGCATACTCAGAAAATGGTGAGTAAAATGGTGTTAAAGGAAGAATTCCTGAGGGACCAAATTGTAGAGGAGCTCATCTCAAGCTGAGTTTTAACTCTATGTTGAATAAAGTAGGAAGTTATGGGAAAGTCTTTGAGCAAGAAATTAAACTCAACAGCAAGTACGAGCCTATTATGCGGCTGGCATTGTGCTCTGTGCCAGGAATACACAAATGAATACACATATTCCTTTTCCCTTAGCAGCTTACAGTCTAGGGAGTGAAGCATTCACAATGTATTTCAGAAATATAACTGATGTCTACATATGATGAACTAGAGTGGGGAAAGAGTAGAAAAAGGGAAATTAGTTAGGAAACTACTTTAAAAACCAAGTGAGAGGTGATGAAGGTCTCTATTCAGGAAAATAGCAGAGGTAATAGAAGAAGAGACATATTCTAGAGACATCACAGAGATAAGAAAAGGATTTAGTTACTAAACATATTACAATAGTGATACTATAAACTAAGCTCGGGGGAGGATGAGAAGTATTTTGGACATGTTAGTGTTTGAGGTACTTTTGGGATATTCATGTGGAAATTTCTAGTAGACTGCTAGAATATAGGTGCAGACCTTAAATGTCAAGAAAAAGTTAAGAATTATAATCAGAAATGAAAGCTAAATTTGTGGGGATGTCAGAGTTGTCAAAAGGAAAGAATGTAAAGTGATAATGAAGAGTGTTGAGTCCTTAGGACCAATGTCTAAATTTCTGAGCAGGACATTTTAAAAAGGTCCAAGAAAGGAGGCTGATTAGAGATCACATACACACACACACACGCACACACACACACACACACGTACACACACACACACTTTACTTATTTATCTATTTATTTATTTAGAGTTGGAGTCTCACTCTGTAGCCCAGACTGGAGTGCAGTGGCACGCTCACGGCTACCACAGTCTCGACCTACTGGGCTCAGATGATCCTTCCGCCTCAGCCTTCCAAGTAGCTGGAATCACAGGCATGTGCCACCATGCCTAGCTAATTTTTTGATTTACTGTAGAGACGAAGTTTCGCCATGTTGCTCAAGCCGGTCTCAAACTCCTGAGCTCAGGCAATCCTCTCGCCTCTACCTCCCAATGTTCTGGGATTACAGGCTTGAGCCACCATGCCGGGTCCAGAGATCACCAATATATTACTTTACTCATATATGCCATAAGATTTCTATTTTACAGCAGGTAAAAATTTAGTACATCTTTTATAAGGAACAATTTGATCATGGACTATTTCCTTTTATTCATATCTTGCCATGTTTAAAAACCATCTACGTAGTAATAAAGAGATAAAATAAAATTTTAAATTCATTAAACTAAAAGCTTTTAGAACAGAAGTTTAAATAGTAAGATATTTATTAGTTTGAAAATTGTTCTTTATTTAGCTTTTAAATGATTTAAAATTCGCTCAACGTATTTTCTCCCTGGGCACTTGAGTTTAAGTATAATTTTGGCTTATGAAAGATACTTATGAGCAAACATATAGAAAAAGAATACCTTCACATTCAGCTTTTCAGACTTTAGTCCAGATGAAACCAAAGCTGCATAAATCAGCGCTAGGTGATGAAGTGCCTTTTGTGTAAGTTGGTACCTACAAAAAATTATATTATTATACTTTTATTCATTTGACATCTGAGTATACTTGCTGAAATTCATTTTGTTTTCCACATTTCATAATGTTATTAGAATAACCTGGCTAAGGCAGAATTAGTGGAACAAAATCGTGGGGTTTTTTTGGTCCACTCTACACTCTTTTGAAAAACATTTCCACTTCAATTCATTAATAATATTGTTAAGTCTAGGGGATACTGAGAGTGTGTGTGGGGGGAGGTGAGGGTTGGAGGGAGCAGCTTAACCCATTTCCTTACTGATCCCAGGGATGGTTGTGTGACTAAAGCCTAGCCAACTAGAATATTCTATCCTCCTGATCATAGTAACAGGCTCAGATACGAAAACATGAGAGCCAGCATAAACTAGAATCTTCTGTTTTTCTCAAACTGCTAGAAAAGTCTTTTTTGTTTTTTCTTTTCATGGCTACTAAGCAGGTCAGATGTGAGTGTTAAGCTGTGGGTAGATATTTCTACTTCTCTTTATGTACTCTAAGCAACAAAGAGGAAATTGTTAGTTTACATTACTAAGAAGTCCAAGGAAAGGCACTGTTGGAATCAGAGACTTGAAACAATGTCATCGAAATAATGGCTCTCTATTTCTTGGCTCTTCTTCCATCTCTGCTGGCTTCTTTCTCAAGCAAACTCTTAAAATGAGAGTGCCTCACTGTGCCTAAACTGTTTGTACAAACAGTGTGGTTTCTGTTGAACATCTGCTTTCCTTCTTAGAGTCTAGAACTTTCATAAATGCTACAGAGTGTGCCTGCATGACCAGCTCTTAATAAAAACCCTGAGCACTGTCTTTCAATAAGCTTCTCTAGTAGAGAAAATTTTACATAAGAAAGTCGTGAGTGACCTTTGAGAGTTCTGAGAGGTAGAGAGAAAAAACAGATACTAGAGAATAAAAGAAGGAAGTGAAAACGATGGGTTCATAACATTTAGAAATAAAATGAATGGGAGACATATGTTAACTTGATGTTAATAATGATGATATCAATGTCTTGCTATGGATATTTTGTAAGGTGTTTACAAGTACTGTCACAATTTATTGCTGAGGAAATTAAGCACATCTTGTGTGACTCAACTAGGAGATGACTCTTGAAAATGTCCTAGTGGTTTCCTCTAGACTTTGTCCCATGAACTTTTTTCCCTTGCTGACTTTGCATTATAGGCCTCCGTAAACTTGCACTGTAATAAATTATAGCCATGAGTACAATTATATACTGAATTCTGTAAGTCCTCCTAGCAAACTACCAAACCTGAGGGTGGTCTCCAGATCTTGAATACAAAACTATCTAAGATAATTATATGATTAAATTTTTTCATGAAGAGCTGGGTAAAAATAAGTTTGAGTCTTCTTATTCTCCTTTGTACTTCAATTGCACCAATAGAACTATAGGTAGATAGTCATCTAAAAAAATAACTTTAAAAAACATCCAAATTGGTTATTTACCCAGAACACTTGTAAGTTCTGGATAAAGCCTAATGCTTTGGAAGCAAATTCAAAGTTTAAAATACACTACAGCTTTTATTAGTCTTCACAAATGAAGGTTTTAGACCTAAATTATTATTTTTCAGTTCTGGCAGAAAGGAAAACTAGGTTAAATGGCTTGATAGAGGTTATCTGTTAATAGAAGAAGGAATAAAAATCAAGGTGCTTGGATTCATATTCTAACTTATATTTATCCTAACATTAAAATGATTGTTTACAAGTTTGCTATCATAGTTAAATAAAAATAGAGTCAAATAAGAAAGCCAATAAAGAAAAAAATCACATGTAATGTCAAAGAAGATGTTTGTACCTTCTCCAATAACTAAATTAAATAATATTTTAAAAATTTACACCATGAGTGATGTGGTATGTGTTATGTAGTACTGTAAGGATTTTTAAAAAGTAAAGCTAGTTTGCAATTTTGTAGGAAAGAATCACTCATTCAATCAAGGAATATTTACCAAACATCTATGATATGAAAACAATATGTCCAGTGCTCTAAGGCAAATACTCTAAAAAGATAACACAGAACATGCCAAAGATGAGGAAAAAATAGGTAGCTAAGTGTTTAAAGGATGGAAAGTCACATCTGAGTATCTGTGTGCATAAGTGGGGTACTGAGGAAAGTTCACATAGATAAACTAATATTTGGGGATAAATAGTGAAAATAGGCACAATTTTTTCACATGAAATAGTCATAGAAAGTAAACAAATATTTCAGGAAGAGAGAAATTACAAACAAAAGTAGAAGTTGGAAAGCAAGAGCATGTTTGTAAGCCATTAAGCAGTCCTTTTGGTTGAAATGGATAGTGAAAATACAACCTGAAAATGCAGGTTGGAATAATATTCTGAAGAAACTGAATTGTAGGGTGAGTAGTTTGTATATATAAAGATAATAAGGAACTCAGTAAAGGCTTTTGATCAGAGTGAAATAATCAGAGCCTGGTTTCAGGAGTATCAGTTGAGTATATGACAGATTATAAACAGGAACATTGAGAGGCATCTGGAGGCAGGAAAACAGTTGGTAGTTTGTTATAGTAGTCCATATAAAATAATGAGAATTTGAACTAAGACATTGGTAATATAAATGGAAGGAGGGGCTAGATGGAAGAGGTTGAATCTATAGGATCTGTTTTCTCATCTTGGTTACTAAAAGAAAGGCAAGGTCATAAATTACAGATAAAATGAGATACAGGTTTGGAGGACATAGAGAATATAATCAATTCATATTTGAGCATACTAAGTTTGAGAGTCTGTGGAATATCTGGGTGGAAATACTTAATAGAACATTAGAGTTGCATGTCAGGAATTCCAAAGAGAAAGACTGGAGCTGCAGAAATAATGTAATAATTACATGCAGAGCAATGATAACAAGCTATGGAAGTATATACTATTTTCAATGGATAGAATAGAAGAAAGAGGCAACCCCTTCAGGTCCGTTTTCACTGTGGGAGCTTTTCTGCCCTCTCAATAAATCCTGTTTTCTAAAAAAAAAAAAAAAAAAAGAGTAGAGAAAGAAGAGAACTCATAACATATATTTGGAGACTGGGACAAAGAAGAAGGAAGAAGGGGTAAAGACAGAAGGAATAGTTAGAGAGTGAAGAAATTAAAAACAATGAAGTGTCATGGAACTGAAGACTTTCAAGAAAGAAAGCACTGACAGCAACGTTAAATGCTTCAGAGCAGAGAAATAAATAAATATTTTTGGAGATAATCATAAGAAAGTCGTGAGTTCTGAGAGGTAGAGAGAAAAAACAGATAGCAGAGAATAAAAGAAGGAAGTGGAAGCAATGGGTTCATAATTTTTAGAAATAAGACGAGGGGGAGACATATGATAACTTGATGTTAATAATGGTATCAATGTCTTGCTATGGATTTTTTGTAATTTTTCAGTTAAGCACATCAATAAAAGAAAGCGTAGTAAGATGCTAATTAGTTGGCATATTTAATGAGATTTTAGAGGAAGTGATTTAAGAATGACATATTTTTTTTATCAGCCAAGTCCATGATTACAAAATAACAAAATACTTAAAGCATCAGTTCTTAATGAGATGGGAACAGGGGAGGATAATTTGTACAAAATGTCCAGGTGAACATGTATCATCTTTGAAATTCCCATTTGTTTTGCTATGATCATGCCTCCATCTTAAACATCCTTGACTTAAAGCAAACTAGACGAGCAAGTTGAAAAATATGCATAGCTATTTCTATTCAAAGAAGAGAAGGACTAAATATCTTTTATTTATTTATTTAAGAGACAAGATCTCACTCTGTCATCCAGGCTGCAGTCTCAAACTCCTGAGCTCAAGCGAACCTCCTGCCTTAGCCTTCCAAGTAGTTAGGACTACAAGCATGTGCCACCACACTCATCTTTTTTTTTTTTTTGGTAGAATAGGGGTCTTGCTGTGTTGCCCAAGCTGGTCTCAAACTTTTGGCCTCAAGTGATCCTTCTACCTTGGCCTCTCAAATTGCTGGGGTTACAGGCATAAGTCACCACACTTGGCCAAGGACTAATGTCTTATGAAGTAGGAATAGGACTTTGTATGAATAAATGTTTACGTACTCTGAATTTAATGCTCCTTTGGTATATAAAATTATCCAACAATAGCTGTACTGGAATGATAATGCCATCAGTCTCATAATGATATTGTCTGATGCTTTCTCACAATTCAATTCTTCTAGGTCCTATTAGAAAATAAAGAAAATTTAAAAATGCATTAGGTTTTACAGTTGTTATATAATTGTAATTATTATATTTCAAGGATCTATGATACAGAAATGATAACCTGAGAAAAGTCATGGATATGGACTCCCATTTCATGGAAAAATTAAAATCACACTGGAAGTAGTAGAGAAAAAGCTAAGGTAGACATACAACAACTAATGATAGCTTAAACAAGGAAGGCTTGTGAATTTTCCAAGGTCCTAAATATGAAGAAAGTGGCCTATGGAGTGCCCCTATTTTGGTAATTTCCTTGTGGACTTGGATCTGACTACTCCCAAGGCAACAGAAAATATGTTTTAAAAACCTATGGGATAATTTGCACTGCATGCTTATTCAAAGGAGATGAGAAAGTAGCAGTTAATAAACTCTGTGGGAATCTCTACCTAATGGTCTGGAATCCCCCTTTCCTTTAATTTTTGATAGAATGAGTAATTCAGAGAATGTCCTTCCTCTAACAAGTTATATACTATGGATTAAAATACTTTTGCCAAACAGAATAATAATTGTTTAAGAACTTTAAATATACAAGGCACAATATATCTTTTGTTAAAAATTAGTTTTTCTTTATTTTTTTATTTTAGAGACCCAGGGTCTTGCTCTATTGCCCAGGTTGGAGTACAGTGGTGTGATCACAGGTCACTGCAGCCTCAAACTCCTGGGCTCAACCAATCCTTCCATCTTAGTCTCATGAATAGTTAGGATTATAGGCATGTACAATCATACCTGGTTCTTTTTTTTTTTGTAGAGATGGAGTCTTACTCTGTTGCCTACGCTCATCTTGAACTCTTGGTCTCAAGGGATCCTCCTGCCTGGGCCTTCCAAAGTACCGGGATTATAGGCATGAGCTACTGTACCTAGTTACAATGTCTCTTAAAAACTTCTCTAATTGAGTTGTATTTTTTCATCATTTAATTCTTACATTGTAACATTTGCTCATCAAATTAGACTTGTACTTTACCATATTTGCCATTAATTTATACTCCATACCATCAAACCTAGCTGTATCCCATTAAATTAATTTCTTTGCAATTGGTACTCCAACCAAGGAAACATATCAGGGAGATCCAGCCAATAATTTATACATCGTAAATTCCAAACCATATGAATTTTTGAAGAGAGTTTCTCTCTCTAAAAATTAACTTAGAGGCAATTCTTATTTACTCACAGGACATTCCATAGGACCAAGTATCAATTAATATACTATCCCTTGTAAGAAACACAGTGGTTGGGATTTGTTTTTTTAAAGTTTTCAAGACTCTACTTATTCTATAGATACATTTAAAAATAGGTCAATATATAGTACTAAGAATTATTTATTTTCTTTGTCCTCTTAAATATGTTAAAAATTATAAGGTATCAGAGGAGCTTGGTAATAGTCATTTTCCACAGTGATGATTTTAGCACTTATGGCCCATTTGCAAAATTTAGAAGAAATTACTAATAGATTATAGTTAAGCTCCCTATAGAAAAGATAATAACTAATGAAATGGCTATATCTTTTAATGTATTTGAATCTATATTTTTTTTACTACATAGTCTTACCTGTAAAATTATGGCAGTGTGTTCATCAATTGTCACCACTACATAATGCTCTGTACTTCCAAAGAGTTTCAATGACTCACTGTAGCATCTCTCCACTAGTGTGATACTATAGCTACAAAATATAATACTCTTGAATTAAAAAATAAAATGGCTAAGAGAAATTATTCAAGAGGAGTTGTATTTTTCTCTTACATACTAAATTAATTGGATTACTGTATTTTTTTCTTTCATATGTCAATTTATTCTACTTTATAAATTTGAGGAATGAAATTATGATTTATTCAGTATATAAACTAAATTAGTTGTGTGTTGCCTTAAGTATTGTGTTACATATTACTGACATAGTGCTATTACAAATGACTTGATCAACTTATTCTAACTTTTTAAATAATAATTCATAAAATCAAAATATTGTGTTAGGAGACTAAAATAATCTGAATTTTCTTTTTTCTAGATTTTAACTACCTTTTAAAAGCACATAGTTTTCTATGAATGCTCCACAGTCTTATGATATAAAAACGAAAGCATGGAACATAAGTCTGCATTTTAACTAAGGTAACAGCACAATTATCATTCCTTGATACAGCTCAAGGTCCAACATTCCTGTGAAAACTTGTGTGCTATGATGTGATATTAAAATTCTCACTGTTAGTATGACCTTAGAAATAAAGATCTAAAACCTAGCTGGGCTCAGTGGCTCAGCCTGTAATCCCGCGCTTTGGGAGGTTGAGGTGAGTGGATTGCCTGAGCCCGTGGATTCAAGACCCACCTGGGCAACTTGGCGAGACCTCATCTCTACAATAAACTAAAAACTAGCCGGGTGTGGTAGCGCGCGCCTGTAGTTCTGGCTACTTGGAAGGATGAGGCGGAAGGATCGCTGGAGCCCAGCAGGGCGAGGCTACAGTGGCCGGGAACGTGGCACTGCACTCCAGTCTGGGTGACAAAGTGAGACTCCAACACACATACACACACACACACGTGGCACTGCACTCCAGTCTGGGTGACAAAGTGAGACTCCAACACACACACACACAACACACACACACACACACACACACACACACAGAAGATCTAAAACCTTAAGAATTCATCTAGAATTTCATAGTCCTGTTTCCCAGGCAGTAAAGTTCCCTAACAAGAATCCTCATTCTTAATATTATTAATGACATGAACATGTAATTCACAGGACAAAAGTATATAAAATGTTCATATGTGCTGGTAATAAAAGACATGAGAAGCCGGGCTCGGTGGCTCAGCCTGTAATCCTGCGCCTTTGGGAGGCTGAGGTGAGTGGATTGCCTGAGCCCGCGGGATCGAAACCCGCCTGGGCAGCGAGACCTCATCTCTACAATAAATCAAAAAATCGGCCGGGCATGGTAGCGCATGC